TTTTGGGGGGGGGGGGGGGGGGGGGCCATGATGCTCCCGCCGTTGCCAAGCAACGGGAGGAGCCACCGCGCATGCGCAGCAACGTCCCGATGATGACACGCGCGTTGCTCGGCAACGGAGGACGCTCAGTGAAGCACGCATGCGCAAGGAGCACAGCGCATCGGTTGTTGCCGGGGTAACCGGCGCCGCGCATGCGCAGTAACGGGCGCGCACCTGCGCCCAGGTGTGCTCATGGAGGCGGAGGAGGGCGGGGCGGGCCCAGGCCCGAGCCTGGAGCTCGCCGAGCTCGAGCCCGAGCCTAAACTCGGTCCTAAACCCCAAATCAAGCCGGATCCCGGTCCCGGTACCGATCCCGGTCCCGGTACCGATCCCGGTCCCGATCTCGGTGCCGGTAAAGATCCCATTCCCGGTCCCGGTAAAAGTCCCGGTACCGATCCCATTCCCGATCCTGGTACCGGTCCCGGTGCCGATTCCAGTCCCGGTGCCGACCCCGGTGCCGGGTCCGGGTCCGGCGCGGACTGGGAGCGCCAGCAGCGGATCGCCGCCCGCCGGAACCGCATCGATGTCCGGCGCCGGTGAGGAACGGGGACCCGGCCCCATTCCCGGTTTTCCAGAGGCGGGCGGGGGGTGCCGGGGGGTCCCCACCCCAAACTCGGCCGGGGATCAGGAGCCGACCCCAAAGGCGGGGCTCAGAACCGGGTCCGGGACTCGGGATCCGTCCCAAACCCATCCCGGGGGCTCAGAATCCATCCCAAACCCATCCCAGCGCTCAGGGACGTTCCCAGAACTCAGGATCGATCCCAAATCCAATCCCAGAACTCAGGGTCCCTCCCAAATCCAATCCCAGGCTCAGGATCCAGCCCCAGGGCTCAGAACCATCCCAAACCCACCCCCAGGGCTCAGAACCATTCCGAGGGCTCCAAACCCATCCCAAATCCATTCTCAGGGCCCAGGATCCATCCCAAAGTCTCAGGGTCCAATCTAAACCCCAACCAAATCCCAAAGGCTCAGGATCCATCCCAAACCTGATCCCAGGCTCAGGATCCATCCCAAAGGCTCAGGATCCATCCCAATCCTAATCACAGGCTCAGGATCCATCTCAATCCCAATCCCAATCCCAAAATGAGGATCCATCCCAAACCTGATCCCAGGCTCAGGATCCATCCCAATCCTAATCGTAGGCTCAGGATCCATCACAATTCTTATCCTAATCCCAATCGCAAAGTTCAGGATCCATCCCAATCCCAGGCTCAGGATCCATCCCAATCCCAGTCCCAAAGGCTCAGGATCCGTCCCAAACCAAACCCAATCTCAGGCTCAGGATCTGTCCCAAACCAAATCCCAGGCTCTGGATCCATCTCAAACCCAGTCCCAGAGCTCAGGATCCATCCCAATCCCAATCCAAGCTCAGGATCCATCCCAATCCTTTTCGTAATCCCAACCCCAGGTTCAGGATCCATCCCAAAGGCTCAGGATCCATCTCAATCCCAGAGTTCAGGATCCGTTCTAAACTCAATCCCAGGCTCAGGATCACTCCCAAACCTAATGCCAAGCTGAGGATCCATCCCAAAGGATCAGGATCTATCCAAATCGCAGGCTCAGGATCCATCCCAATCCTTATCCCAATCCCAATCCCAGGCTCAGGACCCCTCCCAATCCCTGCCTCAGGATCCATCCCAAACCAAATTCCAGGATCAGAATCCATCCCAAAGGCTCAGGATCCATCCCAGTCCCAATCCCAGAGCTCAGGACCATTCCCAAATCCCATAACATTCCCGCAGTGGGGGCTGGGAGGGGACAGGGACCCAGGAGTGTCCCCAGAGTGGCCCCAGGCCGGGGCCTCTCCTCCATCCCAAACATTCCCAAACAAACATTCCCAAACAATTCCCAGGCGGACGCAGGAGCTCAGGGATGCCCCTGGGGGGAGATTCCCAGTCCCAGGGATCACCATTCCCAATCCCAGCGGATCCCGAAGTTGAGGACATCCCCGTCCTTTCTCCTGTTCCGGGATGATCCCATTCCCAGGAAAAATCCCCGTTCCCATCCCGGATCCATCCTTGGATCCTTTTCCCAAAGGATTTTCCCTGGGATCGAACGGGATCCCATGGATTCCCCGTCCGGATCGGATCCCGCTGTGATGGATCCGGCAGCGGGATCCACTCCCGAGCTGGGGCTGGGTCAGGATCCTGCTTTTCCCATGGTTTTTAGGGAAAATCGGGATGGAAAGCACCATTTTCCCCACAGCGAGGTGCCTGTGGATCCTATTCCTAATGGGAATTCCGAATCCAGGGAATCTCATTTGCCAGCCCGCCAGGCTCCTCCTTCCCGATCCCAAATCCTTTCCCGATCCCAAGGAACCACCTGGGATTGATCCCTCTGGAATATCCCGAGAGGGATGGATCCCACCAGGACCACCCCAAATCCTTTTCTGATCCCACCTGGAATGGATCCAGCTGGAATAGCCCGAGTGGGAAGGATCCCAATGGGATCATCCCAAATCCTTTCCCGATCCCCCCTCGGATTCATCCCATTGGAAGGATTTCATCAGAATCATCCCAAATCCTGTCCTGATCCCACCTGGGATTGATCCCAATGGAATATCTTGAGAGGGGAGGAGTGATCCCACCTGGATCATCCCAAATCCTTTCCCGCTCCCACCTCAGATTCATCCCATTGGAAGGATCCCACCGGGATAATCCCAGACCCT